TTTAGCCCTATTTGTAATGTTTTAATTTTTACTTGGAGATTTTCATTACTTGTGTCAATGAAAAGTAACAAAACCACAACTGGGCTTTGGCAGGATAGATTTCTAAGGGAGAGGTGACAAATAGATCCCATTGCCAGGAACTTTCTGCCTAGGAAACAGGCACGCCCAGAGCCGTTCAGGGTGCCCTCACTGTGTCCCCTCCTCACCTTCTGTCGCACACCTCCAGGGCCGTGGGCTCTCACCACTTCACAAAGCAGCTGGCTTCCTGGGGGTTGGCTCTGGCGGTCAGAAAGCTCAGCTCCGTCCAACAGACTGTGCCTTCCAGAAACGGACCCGCCGGACCCAGCTGCTCTCGAAAGCCACATACACCATCTTGGTCAACGTGTAGTACTGTGGAGTTTTAAAACCAGCATGTGTTACTCATGAAATGAAAAACAAAGAAAACCCAGCCTGATATCTGGGGTGGCTGGAAATTGAAGGTAGGGTTCCCTAAGCTGGTCTCATTGCTGATCTCAGCTTGTTATGTTTTTTCTCAAATGTAGATTTTATTTGCTTTCTATTTTCTTTAATTAGAGGTGTGATTTACATGCAGTGAAAGGCATGCATTTTAAATGGGAAGTTCAGTAAATGTTTATATATGTGCACAGCCAGGCAACCAGAATCCAGACCAAGACTTAGGGCAATTGCAGCCCCTCACTCCCCCTCCCAGGCAGTACATGCAGCCCCACCCCAGAGAGAGCCACCATTCTGACTCCTGTCAGTATAGATACGCATTGCCTGTTCCTGAACTTTGTATAAACGGAAACATAGAAATGAAATCATTTCATGACTTGTGAAAATAGATTTCCCTCCACACTGGGCTGCCTCAAAACAGGTGCTAGAGGTTTCTGAACCTCATTCTGAACCTTCTAAACCTCATTCTGAGACCAGCTGTTTCTGAGCTGTCTCCCAGGGGGATGCAGGATTCTAATTTTAAGTTCCCCGGGGCAAGGTGACAGAAGAGCTTTGGAACCCAGAGTAAAGATACCTTGTATACCTCAAGGCTTTGGAGCTGGTTTGTTTTTTGTTTTTTGTTTTTTTTTTGAGACAGAGTCTCGCTTGTTGCCCAGGCTAGAGTGAGTGCCGTGGCGTCAGCCTAGCTCACAGCAACCTCAAACTCCTGGGCTCAAGGAATCCTGCTGCCTCAGCCTCCTGAGTAGCTGGGACTACAGGCATGCACCACCATGCCCAGCTAATTATATATATATATATATTAGTTGGCCAATTAATTTCTTTCTATTTATAGTAGAGACGGGGTCTTGCTCTTGCTCAGGCTGGTTTCGAACTCCTGACCTCGAGCAATCCGCCCCGCCTCGGCCTCCCAGAGTGCTAGGATTACAGGCTTGAGCCACCGTGCCCGGCCTGGTTTGTTTTTATTTACCATGTGTGCATGCATTTTAACTCTTTAATTACATATTTTAACTCTTCAATATAACTATATTAAAGGTTAAAACACACAAATGGTAAAGAAAAAAATTCAAACAGTGTAAAAGAGAACATAGTGAAAAACCAACTTCTCTGGTGTCTAGACACACCCTACAGCCACCGCTTCCCTGCTCGAAGGCAGCCACCGCGCAGCGCTGGTTCACACAGCCTCCGGCCGTCCAGGCAGCTCCACGATTCAGCGTGTCACCGGGCAATCCCTTTCTCCTCCTCCCTCCACTGCTCCCCACGCCTTTTTTCACATGACTGCTGGCTTATGCAGATCGAACACACTGTGTAGCATGCCGTTTTTTTCATTCACTAAATCTTGCCAATCAGTTCTTTTCTTTTTACAGGAGCTATTAAAATGTTCACTAGGAAAAATAAGAGGGAATTTCTGTAGCGCTTACTGTGTCGGGGCTCGTTCCGAATGCTCTCCTGCTCACTCAGCGCGGATCTTACTGTCCTCGGATCTCGGTGAAGGAGTGGGTTCCTTAGGAGGCTTTGTTTGCTCAAAGCGGACACATCACTTTGATCAGTATTTCCCAGGAGCGTCCGCTCTGCACAAGCCGGTGGCCTGCGGCGTTTCGACCCCAAGACCCACCCCCACTCTTGCGGTTTCAGTCTCTTGGAGTCCGCACCTGCCCCGTCCTGTCTGAGGCCACGCTATCGAACCTTCCCTGAGACAGTTCTGGGGATGAGACAAAAGCAAGAGTAGCCAAAAGAGGACACTTCTTAGACATGCCGCGAAAGCCCTCATTTTCATGACCGCAGCTCACACGTGTGGCTCACACGCACACGGCTTCCTGCCTTGCAAATGTAGCAGTTCCTTCCACTTGCATGGATTCTCAGAAATGCTTGATACCATTATTTTATCAAGACTCAAAAAAGCAAACAGCAGATTTTCAAAAATGAATCCCCAACCTTTTGTGGGAAGACCTAGTTTCTTTATTTAAAAAATGTTCCCTCATAAATTTTTATTATGAAAAATTCAACACTTAGAGAAAGGTTAAAAGTAAAGTATAATGGACACCCATGCGCTCTCTCCCTAGGTCCAACAACTCATCGCATGATGTCTGTGCAGCCACGTCTGTCTCCGTCTCTAACTTCTTGCTGCGAAGGGACAGCAATCTGCAGACATCGTGACAGTCCAGTCCTAAAGGCTCCAGCAGTTGCTTCCTGAGGCAACGGACATTCCCTCGCGTAGCCTGCTGTGCTCGCGCCTGAGAAAGTCAGTAACAGTTGCTTAAGATCTTCTGCTGCTTAGTCCATAGCAAATGTCCCCAGTCGTCCTAAGACATTTTTCATGGCTGCTTCTTTTAAATCAGAATCTGACCAAGGGTCACACATTGCATTTGGGTCTTTAGGCCTTTTTCATCAAGAGCAGTGACCTCCCTTTTGCTCTTTTTTCTTTTTTTTTTTTTTTTTGAGACAGAGTCTCGCTTTGTTGCCCAGGCTAGAATGAGTGCCGTGGCATTAGCCTGGCTCACAGCAACCTCAACGATCCTACTGCCTCAGCCTCCCGAGTAGCTGGGACTACAGGCATGCGCCACCATGCCTGGCTAATTTTTTGTATATATATTTTTAGTTGGTCAATTAATTTCTTTCTATTTTTGGTAGAGACGGGGTCTTGCTCAGGCTGGTTTTGAACTCCTGACCTTGAGCAATCCGCCCGCCTCGGCCTCCCAGAGTGCTAGGATTACAGGCGTGAGCCACCGCGCCCGGCCTCTTTTTTCTTTTTTTTTTTTTCGTCTTCTTTTCCTCTCTTCAGTTTGTTTGGCATTGACCTGTGAAGAGACTTGGCCATGCTGCTAATAGCATGTCCCAGACCTGGATCTCTCTGGCCATTCCCTCCTGGTATTGTTTAGCGCATCGCTCTGTCCTCTGAGACGCCGGGAGGTGCATGGCCTCGGCTTTTACTCCACACAGTGACACTAATCAGACCCCTTGTTACGGCGGAGACACGTGTGCCCGTGTGAAGGCACGCTGTCTTTACAATCAGGGCCACATGTGGATGACACTTTGGCACATTGTGAACATCCTCAGCCCCAGTAGACAGGACAACGTTTCTGTTGGTCACTTTAGTGTCCTTAGCCAAAATAAACATTATACTTGCAAGGTGGCAACTTTCTAACCCTACCATTCCTTCTACATATTTAGCTGGTGTTTTTCTGTAAGGAGAACTTTCTTTATATTTCCCCCTTTTGAAAACAACATACAGTCCCTAACCATGAACATTAGAACAAATACCCATATTTTCACCAACCAGAATTGTGCAATAAAATGCTGGCATATTTACCTTCAAGTTTTTCTTTTAAGAAAGAAAACATGACAGTGAAATCTCTGAAACCTGCTCTACCTGCTCGCTCCTCTCACCAGAAGGAGCCAGCAGCATAAATGTTGCTCGTTTTTGTTACCGAAAGTCCAGTACGAAGATTGAGGACAAGTGGTTTAAGGAGAAGGAAACAAGTTTATTAATTTGCTGATAAATAAGGAGGATGGCAGGCTCTCGTCTCATTCATTAAGAAGCACTGTGTGCTCTACAAGCAGAAGCACAGAGCACTCAAAGGGCTCTCGGCTCTGGGCCGCTGCTGTTAACTGTAGTGTCTCCGGTGAAGACAGCTCCGTTGATTCACCTCCTGCCGTGCAAACAGGGCGTTCCCCTGCCCCTTGCATTACTGGCCTTGGGCAGGGAGACAGGTTTTCATTCCTAAAGGGTGGAGGGGTTTTAAACAGAAAACTTGTAAAACATTTGGACTTTTTTCAGGCTGTTCCCTCTGTGACATTTTTATACTTTTGTAAGCACAGTATGTGTTTGGCTATGAACAATCAATAAATGGCATTATTTTGCATGACTTATTTTTAAAGTTTTTCCACAGATAGTATTCTGTATATATCACTATGTATCTTCCTTTGCTTGCCCAACGAGGTCGCGATCGGCTCATATCAATCCACGCAAGTGTGAGGCAGTCCCTCTGAGGAGGGCGCTGTCACACGGGGCCTCCAAGCTGTGCATGGGATCTGCAGCTCTCCGGCGTCACCAGGTGCTGCCCAAATGGCCACACTGATGCTCACTCCCACTGGCAACACGTGGCCGTCCCCGTCTCCATGTCTCCATCTTCATGGGAGAATGTCAGACTGTTCATTCTGGGCCAAACTGATAGACGTCTCGTTGCTTTAATTCACATTTCCCAGTTGTTCTCCAGACTGTGCACAGACATTTGTCAGCCAAATGGTGGGGACGGGCTGCGCCGCTCAGTGGCTCTGAGCTGTTTGTGAGTACTTGTCTGTCCTGTAGAGAGCCACTCCAAGCCAGCAGAGGTGCTCACAATCAGGGGGCTATCATGCAGGGAATGTAATTATTCTTAATTTACAATGTCCTTACATTTCTATAAATAATAATGCTTGCCACCTATTACTGGCTTACTGTGTGCCAGGCACTTTACCTGCCTTATTTAATCCTCTCAGGAATTTATTTATTAGTATTCCCATTTTGCTGAAGAGGAGACTGAGGGTCAGAGAGGTATAGTGACTTGCCTCAGGTCGTAGAGCTGGCCAGTGATCTGCCTCCAGAGCCCACACCCTTTCCTCTGGACTGCATGGCTTCTCCATACTCCCGCAGATGCCGAGGTAGTTGCTGGAGAGAGTACAAGATGGCTTCTCACTGAAAGAAGACAGGCTCTGCGTTTTCTGCCCCCCCATCCCTGCCCCCCCCATGACTATGAGCAGAGAAGTTTGTTAACCAAAAAGTGCAGCCTTGCAAATAGCTCCAGCCCACTGGCCCAGGTTTCTGGCTCAGGACACAAATGAGAAGGCAGTTTAAAGTACAGTCGGCTTCCATATGTGCGGTTCTACATATGTAGATACAACCAACCACAGGGAGAAAATATTTGAAAAAAAAACAATAAAAGATAGTACAATAAGAACAATAAGAAACTATTTATGCTGCATTTATGTTGTATTAGGTATTATAAGTAGTCTAGAGATGTTCTGAAATGCACAGGAGGATGTGCATAGGTCACATGTAAACACCACATCATTTTGTTAATGGACTTAAGCATCTGCAGATCTTGGTATCCGCAGGGTCCTGGAGCCAATGCCCTGTGGATACTGAGGGACAACTGTATTTCTCTCTCACTGCAGCCCAGGAAAGAAAGGTGGGTTGGTAATCTCTTAATTGCCTATAATTCCTAGGTTGGTGATTTGAGTGGGGAATGGAGCTACAGGACTGAACATTCGAGAAACTTTTAGATCTGAAGTTGGAAAAAAAAGAATCTCTCTCTTATTAAAGTTCTCTGTTGTATACCTGGTATTGGGCAGAGATACTTACAGACTTCTCCAGCCTCATCAGAACTCTAGAAGAGAGGTGTCTCGCAGGTGGATGAACCTGGCCCCCAGTCCAGCCTGCCCATGACAGAGGGGGAGAGCCGAGGCAGGGAAGCCTCCAGGGCACCCAAGTGTCTCGCCCGTGCTGTGCCCAGCTAGGTGTTCAGCTCGCAATATACATTTCAGACGTTTGTTGAATGCTTAAAAGGGCTGGAAATCAAAAACAAATGAACAAAACAACCAAGCTTTTGATTCCTTTGGGTTCTGCTGGGTGGAAGGGACCCATTCGAGCAAGGAGAATCGATGAACTGGGTCCTTCGTGAGAAGATGGGGCCAGGCCCTCTGTGCGGCTGTCGTGACTCGGCAAGTTCTCCCAGTCCACAGCCCAGTGACTCACAGGCGTCCCCAGGGAGATGCACAAAGGCCCAGTGCAGAGTGTGGAAGACCCTCCCGCCCCTCGACCCCACCCTGCCCCACGGGGCCCCACCTTCCTGCTCTCCTTCCCCACCTCTGCCGGCTCACTGTGCCTCCTGGGACAAGTCAGGCTGTCCCCTAGGGCCTGTGCCCTGCAGCCCCCGCCGCACTGCTCAGCGCCGGCTCTCTGCATGGCCGAGTCCTCGTCCAACGTCGCCTCCTCGGAGAGGACTTCCTGGCCACTCTGACCAAGGTCCCCAACCCAGCCACCCCCGACCTCTTCGATTTGGTTTATTTCCCCCTGAGCACTTACCACTGCTTAGGCTGAGCTGGCGTGGTCATGTGCTTGCTGCTAAGCTGTCCGCTTCCCCGACTGGAACGTCAGCTCCAGGAGGCTGGGACCCTTATCCTCATGTCACCGTGCGCTGACACTTGGAGCTGCACCTGGCATGTGACAGGCACCCACCAGACAACGGGTGCAAGAATGAGAGAAAGAAGGGGCCAGGGCTCAGCGCGTGCTGAGGCTTCTGGCAACATTCGCCTCCCAGGGGGAGGAGGCGCAGCTGGAGACGCGCCGGGCGGGTAGGGCGGTGGTGAGATGCGCGGGCCTTAGGCTGATGATACGCGGCGGCACGGTTAGCTGAACACCTGCTGCAGTGCAGGCATGAGCTTGATGCGTGAATCACTCTCTCCTCAGAATAAGGCAGATGCTGCTATGACCCCCTGTTCACAGGCAAGGGAGTGAGGCTCAGAGAGACTAGGGGAGCTGACACGTGCTCCCGCAGATCCGACTCAGAGCCTGCGCTCTCCCTGGGCGGGCGCGGGACTGACACGTGCTCCCGCAGATCCGACTCAGAGCCTGCGCTCTCCCTGGGCGGGCGCGGGACTGACACGTGCTCCCGCAGAGCCGACTGCAGAGCCTGCGCTCTCCCTGGGCGGGCGCGGGACTGACACGTGCTCCCGCAGAGCCGACTCAGAGCCTGCGCTCTCCCTGGGCGGGCGCGGGACTGACACGTGCTCCCGCAGATCCGACTCAGAGCCTGCGCTCTCCCTGGGCGGGCGCGGGACTGACACGTGCTCCCGCAGAGCCGACTCAGAGCCTGCGCTCTCCCTGGCCGGGCGCCAGACGGGGGCGGGGGCGCGGCACCCACTTCACAGGCCCAGCTATTAGCCCAAGTTCCTGGTGATCCTGCTGTTCTTCTGCCCGCAGACCCCCGACCCTCTCAGAGGGCACAGTCAGGCCCAGAAGCAGAGTCCCACCCACTCAGTCCACACACATTAATTGAGCACCTGTGGTGTGCAGGGGTGCCAGGGATACGGCAGGCTTAGGTTAGCGCCCCCGCACTGGTGGAGCTCACAGTCCGCGCCATGGCCGGTGGGGAAGACCACCAGGAAGTTGCAGAGGCGCAGGAGCGGGCAGACCTGCAGACGCTGCCGCAGGGACAGAGCGGGGCAGGCCCCGGGTGCTGGCTGACCTGGGCGGGCCCGGCCAGGGGAGGGCTGCCTGGCGGCTGGTGCAGTCAGAAGAGGGTGGACTCGGCACATCAGTGGAGGGAAGCAAGCGGGAAACACACGCTGAGGGAAGGATGGCTGAAATACGGCCCGGGCTCTCCCACCGCCCGGCGCAGACAAGGCCCTCCAGAAATGTGGGCCTGGAGTTGGATGGGGTGGGCTCAGTGCCCTGTCCAGCAGGAACAGAGAGCCTGTCTAGTGTGGCCTGTCTCACAGAATTCCTTCAGGGAGGACGGTGACTGTGAACCTCCTGTTGGTTACCTGGTGGTTAACCACTGACGTGACATCTTGAGTTGGATAGCTGTACTATTAGGCCGTTAAGTATGAAATGTCCGATTTCAAATCAAACGTTTAATTTATTATATATCAAACAAGAAGCAGTACAATTAATCAAAGTATGCGCCCAAACTGTCAACACAGTCTCATCATCTAACGGCAGCTTGTTTATGCCAGCAGCGAAGAAGCTGGTGAGCCAGTGGTGATGAAATTTCAGAAGGCGTTTTCTACAGCTCGTTGAGAATTGAATATTTTTCCTTGTAAGAAGTAGTCCAAAGCCTGGAAGAAGTGGTAGTGAGTTGGTGCAAGGTCTGGCAAATACAGAGGATGACACAGAGTTTCCAAGTCCAGCTGCTGTAGTTTGAGCAGTGTTGTTTGTATGACACATGGTGGAGCGTTGTCTTGCAAGAGGACTGGCCTGTCTCTCTTGACCAGTCTCTCTACTCAATCACAAGCATCCTCATCATTTCATCCAGCTGGTTGCAGGAGACATCTGCTGTCATCGACTGACCAGGTTTCATGAAGCTGTAGTGGATGATACCAGTGCTGGACCACCAGACAGACACCAGTAGCTTTTTTAAAAATGAATATTTGGTTTTGGAGCATGTTTCAGCACTTCATCTTTATCTAACCATTGTACTAAATGTTTGTGATTGTCAAAAAGAAGATTTGGGGAATTAAGACCTGCCTTCCTGCCCAAGGCCAGGAGCATCTTCTGACACTCATTTAATTCACGCAGAACCACCTATCCAGCTCTTTGCCTGGACATTCCCTTCACAGTGACTCCCCCTTGCCCTCACGGGAACTGCGGGACCCCACCCGCTCCCTGGCCCGGTGCTGCTCTGGACTCCTTTGCTCCCATGGTGCGGGGCCGGCTCCAGCCAGCACTCACCTGGGTCAGCGTCTGAGGCCCCATAGCCCAAACACAGACTTCCTGACCTAGTTTTTTGTTAATTATTATAAAATTGTGAAAATTCATTAAGACACGACTTGCATCTGTTGTAAGTGCACAGCTCAAAGGACCTTCGCAGGTGGGATACTCTGGGCCCCGGATCCTGAAGGAGACTGTGCCCCACCCCGGCCACACCCCTGCAGGGGTGAGCTCTGTCCCACCTTGGCATGCAGGCCCGTCTCTGTGCTTTACACGCACAGAATAGCAGCCACTTCCATTTTTTAAATGAACTTTTAATTTTGGATGATTTTAGATTTACAGCACAATTGAAAAGATGCTATAGAGAGTTCTCGTACACCCTCCACTCAGCTCTCCTTAATAGTAAAATTTTTCCTAACCATGGCACATTTGTCAAAAGTAAAAGTAACAGATTTAACATTGGTGCAATGCTATTAACTAAACAATAAAGGTAGCTTTTTTTCTTTCTTTTTTTTTTTTTTGAGACAGATCGTCACTCTGTGGCCCAAGCTATGATGACAGTGGTGTCATCATAGCTCACTGAAAACTCAAACTCCTGGCCTCAAGCCATCCTCCTGCCTCAGCCTCCCAGAATGGATTACAGTCATGAACCACCATATCTAGCCAAGGGTAACTATTAGCCAAGGTTATTAACTCAGTGATTAAGTAGTAATGACTACTGATTATTGAGCTGCCACCCCTTTTTGGCTAACCTCCCTTATCTACTCCAGGATCCCATTGAATTTATAGGTCATGTTTCCTTAGTCTCCTCTGACCTAGGACAATTTTTTCATCTTCCCTGTTTTTCACCAGCTGGACTATTTTGGGGAACACCAGGGGCACCCACAGGAAGGGTTTCAGAGCCCTGCTGTGCACAGTTACCAAGGAGCCAGCAGTGGGAGGACACTGGCATGAAGCTGTGCCAGGTATGGTGGCTCCCCCATGTCCCCTCGAGGGTGGCAGAGGAGCCTGGCCCCTCCCCTGGTCCCCAGAGAGGGCTCCCCAGGACTCTGGGGGGAGAATCTTACCACTGCCCGGCAAGGAGCCTCCTCCCCAGGAGGACATGGACACATGTCCCCCACACCTGGCAGCGTCAGCTGCAGTCCAGCGCCCCCAGCCACCTGCCCGCCGAGACCCCTGCTCAGTCCCAAATGCTGCGAGACCCTGGAGGGCTGCTCGCTGCCTTGGAGGCCACAGCCGTCATCAGCCACCACACTAGAAACTAAAACTGAGAATTTAAAGACAGATTTATTCACTTATTTAAGGTAATACTAAACTCCTGACTTGTTCCATGTAGGATATATTATGAAAAATTATGTATTGAAAGAAAACGAGTGAGAAGAGTAGCACCATCTTACATTTTTGCAAACTTCTTTTACGTCCGGCTTAAGACAAGGCAACTAGACCCTGACATCTGCAGCTGCAGCCGGTCCCCTGGGAGCCTGTTGCTTGGCGAAAGTGTTGGACAGAATCCGCCTCACTGTAGTTGGTGAGGAGGAGCCAAAAGGATCCCTGGGAAGGGCTCAGGTTGCCACTGAGACCCCCGGCGCACACTTTGAGAACTGCTGTCCTGGGGATGCCAGGGGAGGCTGCCAAGGTGGGGAGGGCCACAGAGCCCTCAGCAGGGACAGCCTGGGGTGTTTGGGTTCACTCTCTGCTCCCCACTAGTGAGTAACCCCTCTCTGGGCCTCAGTTAACTTCTCTGTGAAATGGGGTCACCGATAGCACCTGCTTCTCAGGGCTACCATGAGCACTGCTTTGCACAGCGCCTGGCGCCGCCTCAGCCCAAAATGACGCTGGGCTTAAACAGCATCACCGTCTGCTGGCCCAGGGAGGGCGAGGCCTCTCACTCCCTCTCCACGACTCCCAGGCAGCCCCAGACCAGGCAGGGTGGGGGCAGGGGGCAAGGGGGCAGCAGAGGTCAAAGATACCAGTGTCCTCCTTTTGGTTTCCGAGGGTAAGAGGCTGAGCTTGGGGAAGGGAGTAGGTCACCCCAAGTCGGGTGCCAAACTGTGCCTACTGCCTGGGGCTGGAGACTGTCTCCTAGGTGTCAGTTCCGGAGGATTCTCATGATCAGAAAGCACCCAGAAGAGCCAAGGGTGCCCAAGTCTTCAACCCGGGACAGGGAACAAGCACACCCACTAAATACTGCTAAGGGATGGGGGAAGCAGTAAAGTGGCATCAGGCTGGTTCTGCACCCTGTGATAGGCTTTCTGGAAAGTTCCAGCTGTTGTTAGCATTGAACTCCCTTCCCCTTCCCTCCCAGCTGGGTCTGTAGCCTGTGGCCCAGATCACCACGGGAGCGGCCCTCCCTAGGGTGAGTGCTGGGACTGTCTTCAAAGCATCAGCAACTGGCCTGGGGCCTGGGATTCCTGCCACCATGTGAAGCCCTGGGTCTGCTGGGCCCTCGTGCTAGAGTGGGGAGGAGTGCAAGTGGCTTTGTCTCTTGTTGAGCGTGAATAGAAACCGAGCGGAGTACACACACCTCGGGTGACAGCTCCAGGCCTCTCCCTGTGAGGGTCCCCGTGCAATTACCACTTGGGTGGAAATGCAGGGTGCCCTCTGTTTCTATGGGCTCCACATCCGCATCCATGGATTAAACCAACTGAAGACTGAAAATATCTCAAAAAAATTGTGTCTAAACAGAACTCATCAGATTTTTTTCCTTGGTACTATTCCCTAAACAGTACGGTTTAAGAACTATTTGCAGAGCATTTACTTTGTATTAGATATTATAGTCATGAGCCGATTAATGATGGGATAGGTTCTGCAAAATGCAGTGTTAGGTGATTTTGCTGTGCAAACGTCACAGGGTGTACGTGCACACCGGGCAGTGCAGCCCTGCTCCTGGGCTGCACACCTGGGCTGCACGTGCTGTGCTGAAGACTGTGGGAGACCCTGACACAGTGGTATTGCTGCATCTGAACAGATCTAAACACAGAGACGGCACAGTAAAAAACACGGTATAAATGATAAAAAATGGCACACCTGTGTAGGGCAGCTCCATTACAATTTTATGAGGCCACCGTCATCTACACAGTCTGCCACTGATCGAAAGGCTGTTATTTGGCACATGACTGAACACCTAGAGATGACCTGTACAGAAAGTATACAGAAGCATGTGGGGGTAATATGCAAACACTTCCCCATTTCCTGTCTGG